CTGATATGCCTTTTTGAATTCTAAATCAGCTGATTTCTTGTCGACTGACGGAAAATTCAACCTTATGATAAATATAACTCACCAAATTGACACTATTGGAGTGAGTTAGTTTAATGTTTAATTTAATAATTCAACGAACTTTCTTTTTTGCGAAAACAACCCAAAACTTCCTAGCGCACCTTTGCCCCAAAGAAAAAAAATTGCTCAAACAATTTTCGATCTATCAATCAAAAAGTAAACGAAGTCTATTTTTCTACAAAAATAGCATGCTTGGCATTAACACTCTAGACAGGGTCTTTCTGTGTTTTCCCTGCAAAGATGAAACTTGAATTATCACCTCGCTTCAAAACTATATACCGCTCAAAATTGCTCCAAAAACAGGCGAATTTGCGGAGTCCGCGACCGTATATGCGGAATCCAGAACAGTTTGTGGAATCCACATAAAAATTATAAGTCATGTGTATAGTTAAATTGAGCTGTTGCGGAATCCGCAACTGTTGGCGGAATCCGCAAATTGTAAGTGGAATCCGCAAATTGTAAGTGGAATCCTCAAATTGTAAGTGGAATCCGCATTTTGTTTGCGGATTCCACTTACATTTTGCGGATTCCACTTACATTTTGTTGAATCCACTTACAGTTGCGGAATCCAGAACAACTAGCTAAATTGGCTTGTTGCGGAGTCCGCAACAAAACAAATGTGCCGACAAAATTTACGTTACAGCAATTTGTACGCGGAATCCACTGAAATTTTGTTAGTGGAATCCACTTACCTTTTGGAACAAATTTAAAGACTTGTTTCTGGAATCCAGGAACAAACAGACACAAAATTGTGCTCCTATCCAGTGCACAGTTTGGCCTCGTAATAAAATGGATGCAATTTGCAAAACTTTTGTGTGGGAAATAAATTACTTATTATTTTATATGAAACTTTACTGAAAATCATTTAATTTTACATATGTATGTAAAAAACCAGGTGATATGTTTTCCAGATAGCGAAGCAGTAATTAGACCAATAGACCAAATAGCATGCTTTAATTCATTTTGCACAGAATATATCACGCGTTAGCTATCCCAAATGGTGAAATTGTTTTTTTTAAAACCCCCATAACTTTACAAAATAATCAGCAAAACATATTTTTAAAATTGAGCTCAGGTCAACAGTATTTTTTGAATGATGAAAAAAAACAAAAAAATTGCTAGTTAAAAAGTCGAAGTTTGTCTGAGGAGAAACCGCCCTAGCAGAAATAATCCAACTTTTCATCAAAAATCGGGACGAAAACTCGGGGGAAAATTTTTTTTTTGTTCCACACAATGTTGTGATAAATTTGATACTAATTGTAGTCCAGCTGACGCTAGCGAACTATCTCATCTGAAATTGACAGCTTTCGCACATCTTTTCAAAATGTATTGCTGTTACCGAACCCGATTTTTTTTGTTTCATTGTGATTGAATTCCCAAACTAAAAGACATAGTTGAAAATTGCCCGTAAAAATGAATCCCTAGGAGAAATATTTTTTTTTCTGGTAAAAGTGGGTAAAAAAGAATAAAAGTACTAATTTTTTGGAAACTTTTGATTGTGTGATGCTTTTCGGTCCACAGTTCAGCGTAAAAGTTGTAGTTCCACAAGCCAGACGACCAGGATCAAATCTCGACCGAAGTTATTAAAAATTAACATGTTAGGCTCTTTTTCCGTATCATGGAATTGAAATGTTTCGAATTTTTTTTTACTGAAGCCAAAAAAAAGCTGGTCTGGAAAATCTGTCCCGCACTTACACACTGAAATCTTAGCTTTGCATTTACAACAGATTATTAGATTGAAAAAAAAAGATTTTTTTTTAATAAGTAAAAGGTATTTGCTATTTTTTATTTGAAATAAAGCCTTCATGCTTCGTAAAAAAATAAAACCCAAAAACATGGTGTCCTGAATGGTGCAGTTTATTTGATGAAGTGATTTCAATGGGTAAAAACTTAGGGTATTTCAGGATGATCCTAGAAAAAATGTTTTTTTTTCACCCTTACAATTTTATCAAAGCAGCTTCATTTTCTGGTCATGTGAATGTGAACTTTAGTTATGTCCTATCAACAGATGTTAGCAAAGTGTATCTCAAACTGACCAAAGCACAAGATTACAAAATAAAACAAACAGGAAACACTTCTTTTTTCTATTTTGATAGCTTTGAAGCAACCAATTAACTTTGATTTGAAGTGCTTGAACCGTCTTGTAAACAAATTAAACTGTAGCATCATATTGTGTATTTATTTGTCCTCTCAAGAACCTGAGCAAAGCAGTCCTGTGAATAAATGTTTTTTGATTTTCTTACGTCAATTGTTCAAATTGTTTGGAAATAGTTTTTTTTTATTTCTTCAATTGTAAGCTGTTCGGCATACATGGTTACACTAGTCACTCTGGATATCATTCGGATTCAGGTCGATCTCAGAAGATTCGTTTGTAAATAAATCATAATCGTTATATTAAGGAACCTGTGCAAACATCAAAATAGATAGAAACCCGTCGATTTATAGCGCCCTGACTCTTTCGATCTCACAACATTTTCTCTATCAATATTGTAACCATTAGCAAAAAAAAAATGGGACAGAAAAAAAATAAATAAAACAAGCGACTGGCTCAATTTGGAAAAATATAGCTTACAAAAGCTTGCATGTCTCAGGGTTGTCTGGATCTTCAAAATTGAAATCAAAACTGACTGTTCGAGAGCTTTATTGCTGTTGGGATCTACTTAGGACGAAAGAAAACAATTGTCAACTTGATTAAGTTAAACAAATTTTGACCAATCAGAAAGCTGCAAAATCCAAATTGTAAAAAAAACGCTTTAGTCCTAATTTATTGCTTTTATTTATAGGGGTTGCAATTTTTTAAAAGATTCCACAAGGAGTGAGATTGTTAGGTAGATACCGCAGTTGTAAGCTCCCTGACAACAAAGTAATAAAGTCTGGCCGGTCAATGTGATAAAACTACATGACGCGAGAACATCGAATCTACTGATACTATTGATAGCCGATTGAAATTTCATGAAGTAAACCATACAATCAATAAGCACTGATTACTTAAGCCTGGCTCAGTCGAAAAAATTCGTTGGCGAGGTTTAAGCTTACTAGATTTCTGCTCCAACTACATAACTAATTAAAAAAGATGTTTAAATGGTTTTTCCTTGTCACATGTTAACTTTGGTAATTTTTTTGGTTTGGATCATTTTTTTGACTTTTTTTTCGGAAAATAGCTTAAAAACGCGGAAAATTTCACAAATCACGATTTCTAGCATAAAACACAAGTTTAATTAATTGGCTGAGATAATTATGCTAAACTAGTAACCCTATTAATCAAAACTTTAAATCAAGGGTAAGCGTTATTAGTATCTGCCAAACTTACATGAACCAAATTCGTTTTTTTTTCCATAAATTCTCCGGTTGACAAAAAACGCAAGTAATACAGTTTCATGCTTGTAAAACAAGTTTTTGACACGTCCAAAAAAAATTGTCTGATAGTTCTACGACTAGCATTTTTTGCAGCGTGAAATTATTGGCTGCATTTTTTATTTTTTACTTTGCGTGAAATTGTGTGGCTAGCATTTTCTCCTTATGCGAACACTAACCAAATATTGGCTGGCATCTAAAATAACTTTAACTAACTGGCTGAAACAATTGTTCCTAATCTTTAACCTTATTAGTCAAAACATGAAATCAAAAATAAGCGTTGTTAATATCTGCCTGACTTGCATCAACAAAATTACTTTTTTTTTTTCAAACAAACCCGTGTTGACAAAAACGCAATCAATACAATTCATTTTTGTGAAACTAGCCTTTGGCACCACCAAAAAACTGTCTAATAACTCTACGACTAGCATTTTCTGCAATGTGAAATAATATGACTTGAATTTTTTCGCAGTGTGATAATGTTGACTAGCTTTTTTGTGACATCTGTTCTTAGTGATCATAATCATATTCTTGCAGATTTAGAGTTGATGACAAACAACATCAAGACTGCTTGTATCAGGGTGAAACCTTGAATATTCGGATTGCATTTTGTTTTCTATGGAGTAGTTTAAATTACATTAATTGAAGAGATTTTCCAAGAAAAAAATTTCGATTTAGAGACGACAATTTTGACAGATTATAATTGAATTTTGACGTCTGGAAGTACAGCTGAAAATTTTGTACTTTCGTCATTTAATTTGGTTCACCGTGACTTATGCAGTATTAAATTTACTCTAATACAGAGAAAAATCTGGCTGATATAAATTAAAGAAAAAGAAAATTGTTTGAAAAGAAGGTCCGAAAAATGTAGCTTCTATAACGTTATTTGAATTGTCATTGATTTAAACTTTGCTTTTAAAAGCTATAGTGAATTTTTGGCAAAAATTATTCGAATTTGTGGCGTATTCAATTATACCAGAAAATAGTTAGATAGCAACAGTCTTCTGCTTAGTTACAGATTGTACATCAAATCTGTTCAAAATGATTTTGTTACCAATTTTGCTTTTTTGATTTTCACTTTTGATATCCAAATTTTGATACCATAATGTAAATTTAACAAATTTTATTCGGATTAAATGAAAACTGCGGGTATAAAAATTTCAAGTTTTTTCACTAGTGGGAGCCAAATGTTTTAGCTGGCAAAAGAAAACAGTTAATTTCCTTCAAAAAATCGATTTTCAAATTGGAGTCTTTGATTTGTTAAAGCAGTCTTTTATTATTGTCAATTTTCAGAAACCTGAGTTGATTTTCTGTACCATATTTTTTAAACACTTATCTTTTTTAGTTTTGAGTTTCTAGTGCCTAAAACTGTTTAATCTTGTGCCTAAAAACGCCTTTAAAAACCCAGAGTCAGCTAAGTACAATGAAAAAACTATTTTGATTTTAAGATTTGTGGCTCATTTCGCAGAAAGTTTTCATGTCATTAAATAAAGGGTCACAATCATTTCCAGTTTAATGGACTAATTTTATTTAGTTCTTGCAAAGTCTTCATAGCATTTTTTAGCTATTGCTTTTATGGGTTTTCTGCACTATATTTTCGTGTGTCAACGCTTTGAAACTAGTTTCTATCAGATAAAGAGCTTTTTTAGACCATCATAAACTCTTTGTAGCTTCGGTTGATGGGTGACCCAAATGAATCGTTTCTGAACACCGTAACAATAGATGCGAGGCTTCTTGTTTCAGGTGAGACCTTGGATGACCTTCGGTTTGAGTGTGCAAATGCAAGCGGCTACTGCGTGCATGGTAAATTGAGGTGCAATGGCGTGGTGGACTGTCCCGACGGCTCCGATGAGGCGAACTGCGACGGACTCCGCCAGAAAGAAGACGTAAAAATCCAAACCATTTCTTTCTGTTTGTTGTTTTTTTCCAGGTAAAATGTCGTTAACTTTCTGAAAGGGTTTTAATATGATTTAAAATTCGACCCATGCTGATGATTCTTTGTGGCACCTGATTTTGCGTGGAAAACAAAAGAAAAAAAACTAAAAGACATCCGAATACAAAATATCTCACATTTTAATTGATCGGAACAACAAATATGAAATTTACTAGGCTGACGTTTTTAGGCGCGACCCTGGTTCGAAGCTTACAAAAAAGGAAGTCGGGAAGACTATTCCGATTTACAGGCGGCCGGAATAACCGGACCCGAAAACGTCCGGAATAACGGCCAACAAATTGAAGACTTCATTACTCAGTGCTCGTTCGATTCTCTTGTTTGCGATGTTGAAGACTTTTATACGTGGCAAAATGACGTGTACGGAAACTGTTTTACTTTCAATCACATCAAAAAACCCGCCAAAACCACAGTTCGCGAGGGTTCCCAATATGGTTTGAAACTCGCGCTTTTTGTCGACCAAGATGACTACGTCGGGCTACTATCACCGGCTTCTGGAGTTCGGGTCTCGATCCACTCGCGAAACATCAAACCGTTTCCCGAAGACGACGGACTCTCAGTATCGCCAGGCACCGCAACATCAATTCGGATCCACGAGAAGAAATTCACTCGTCTCGGTTCTCCATACGGTGACTGTACCGAGAACGTCTGGCCCGAGTCAGTAAAAAGCGATTCGGCTTTGGAGTTCGATTATTCGACCAAGTCGTGTAATAAATACTGTTTCGCCGAGTACATTTTCAACAAGTGTGGATGTTTGAGTTCGTTGATATTGGCTAAAAATAACACAAGAGATGAAGATTTTTGTACAATTATAAATGTGACGCAGAAGATTTGCCAAGAAGAGGCGTTAGTTGATTACAGCACAGGTAAACTGCAGTGCAACTGTAAAGTACCATGCGAAGAGTACAAGTATCAGACGACTCTCTCTTCGGCTAAATGGCCCGAGGTTAGTTTTGCACTCCGTACTTTCTTGGGAACTCTGTAACAATAACTCTTTACTGTCCCAAAGGTATCTAGTAAGAACATATATCCACATCTAGAACAATAGTAAATAATTACAATAATTTTTTGTTCTCCCAGCTTTAAAACGTTGAAAACTTCTCATTTGATCGTTTTACAATGAGAATTTGGAAACTGTTTTGTGCAATTCGAGTTTTTAAAACTTGACAGCGCTTTTAGAGTTCAAGAATTCAATTGGTGCCTTAACTGAAGTTATTTGTATATTTGGTAGATTTTTGATAGGATATATTTCGGAGCGTTTTATAGAAACTTGATCAGATAGCTAGAAAATCTCTCCCCCCCCCCCCCCCCCAAAAAAAAAAAATCTTTTTCAGTCAGTCAATCATGTTTTAACATTTTGCATGTTGATTTTACTGCTCAAATTTGGCTTTTTTTTCGGGGGGGGGGGGGGGGGGTTAGTGTAACAATGAAATTGCTCATATAGGTCTCAGAATAAAATGTAAAATGAAGTCAAAAAATATATTCCAGAATTGGGATCAAGTTAATATCCTCTCCCATACCTTCCATCCTTCCTGTCCCAAATAAATCAAATAAAAATATTCCATCCTACGATTTCACGCAATAACCTTGATAAGTACTGTATCTAAACCCAATCTTAGATGCAGTAGCAAAAGAGGATGTACCAAAAAAGATTAATTCCGATGAGTCTGTAAACCATGTTTGAGTTTTCAAAGCGCAGATCAATTCTGTCGGCGCCAAAAGATCAAAGTCAAGAAATTCAAATGGTTTTAAACTGTTTTGTATGGGACTGTTTTTTAGAACCTTTTTTTGATGTTTCGGACTCTTTTATACGGGACTGTTTTGTATGGGACTGTTTTTTATGGGACTGTTTTGAATATATGCACCATTCTAACGAGTCTGATGAGCCGAAAAATCTGATGAACAACCAAGTTAACAGCCCCCTTTTTAGGGAGACGATAATAAATTGGAACTTAATTTCCTGCAATTAAAAACGAATATTTAATTTTGAACGAATATTTTTCATGCAGTACTAACTAAAGTAATTGCATTATTAATAACAGATTAGAGTTGATCCAAAAACTTGTTTAAAAAAATATTTAAGAAGCTAAGAATGTTTCAGATGTCTTATTTGTGGCATTTTGTGCGTATGCTGTACCGCGAAACAGGTCGAAAGATCAAAGAGTTCACTTCCGATATCCGAAACAACCTCGTGGAATACAAGTTCTCGACATACGCAGGCCTCCAAGGACTCAAAGAGGTTCGCGAGAACTTCGTCAAACTCGAGATCTATTTCGACGATCTCTCGCTGGAGGAAATTTACGAAGAAAAACAGCTGTCGATTGAGACTTTTCTCAGCGGAATTGGAGGTTGTTTGGGACTATGGGTTGGTCTCAGTATTATTTCTCTAGTCGAGGCGTTTGAAGTTGCATTTTACATGGTCCACTGGTGGTGGAACAAAGTTTCTGTGAACGATTCAAAAAAATGCGAATCATCTTCGTACGCGAATTCAAAAAACTACAACGCCGAGCTAAGCCCAATGGGTAATGTTTTGGGATACGTTTCTAGGAACGATTTGGGCACAAATCCGAACATCCCGCCGAAACAAAAGGGTTTCGCAAATCTTGCGAGTAATGACTTTGAGTCGGATCGCTGCTCCCCTTTTTTGAAACCGACAAATAACTGCGGGTTTATTCAAGTTAATAACTGCGAAAATGAGAGTCCTTTTAAAGTACCGAGCAGAAAATTCCGACCAAAAAACGAGACACAACCGCCTCCGAGCTGGCACGAAAGCGTGAACATTCCGAAATATGATTCGAATTCTTGGAACCACAAATTTTTAGGAAATGCACCTCCAAATTACAATAATATAGTTGATGGTGATCAGTTATTGGTTAATAATAACGCGCTTCATGAATCATCCGCGCCCCAAGACCGATCGACTGTTTCCGAGAGTTTAAGCGACGACCCTCAACGGTTCCTCAGGGTCGGAAAAACATCAAACAAACTGTTCACTAATTTCATTTGAATATGTTTGAGTTTCCATCTAGCTGTATATATTCATTTATATAGTTTATATTCAACAAAAATATATTGAATTAGAAATTAATGTATTTGTACTTAATTTTTTGGCTTTTTAGATTTAAAAAAAATTAAAAGTTCTTTCTTTATCTTCTTTTTGCTTCAACTTAAGTTGGCATTTGAAGATAAGTTTTTCATTTAGTAAAAAGCTGTGGGCTTTAATGGATTTTTGTGACAATTTTAGTTTGAGGAAAAGTTGATAACGGATATTGACAAGATTTATCTTTTTTACCGCCTTACTTTTTCATTTTATCGAGAAATGGGTACGGTTAATTTTAGGTTTTGTCTTAGGAATGCGCTGTTAACCTCTGATGAAGCCGAGCTCGACGTGTACATAATTCCTGGAACTCTACACATGTTTTGATTTTCAAAATCGAGAAGCTGCTTTTGTGCTACCAAAATTGCTCGGTCGAGAATTCAAATTCAGTCGAGTGCAAAAACAAACCAAGCTAGATTTTGGGCGAGGAAGTTGAAAAATAGCTGAAACAATGACTAATTTTCTAAATCAAAATATTCTAAGCAATTAACTAGTTCAAACAGAAAATTGAGCAAAAAATCTGCTCAAACATTTAGTCGTTGCAGAAATCGCAACATCAATTTCATGCTCATTTTATTAAAATTTTGAGATCTAATGGATCCCGCAGTATCAAAAATAGCCGTTGTTAAAAAATTTTAAAGTTGTTATTTTTATTGCAATTTTTGAATTAGAGCTTTTTCGCAAATCTTTTTGAAACCTTGAAATTTTTGGCACAAGCAGGACACTAAAATATGCTCCAAAAATTAATTATCAAAATTGAAAAATTAATCATTGAAAAAATTTTTTTTTTCTATGATATGGAAAAAATGAATTGTGTCTTAATCAAAATGACCTTTCACGCTTATTTCGTTTTAGTACCCAAACAATTGGAATTTTGCTCCAATCGAAAATACAAGGACTCTATAACGATGTATCAATCAATCAAACCTTCCATTTTTTGTTATAAGAAAGAACTTGCCTGATTTTTGAGTTCCATCCGAGTTTTCAAAAAACTTGGCTCATTTTTTTCGATTGAAACATTTGAACTATGTTTAGTTTTCGTCGGTCCTGATGAAGCATAAATCAAGTGCACCCTTTTCTATTTGAAAAAAGAATAAGACATTCGAGACATTGGAAAAAATTGGCGAAAAGTTAAGTGAAATAAAACGTCAACAAATCTTTTTCAGAAACGTTTGAATTTTGGTTGAGGAGTTTTAAACATAGCCAATTTTGCCCGAGAATACGTCGAATACGCTAAAATCTCGACCCTGGATTTTGAAAAGTCTGAAAATCGTCTCACAATTTTTTCCAGGCCTCCGTTACTTTTATTTTCAGCTGTCATTTGAACTGCTATTGCAATTGATATGAAAATTGCTGTGACAAATGTTTTATAAACTTGCAATTTTTAACAAGATGGCAGGTTTCAAAAAAAATTACTGAAAAAGTCACTGTGAACTCTTTTTAGGCCCTTTTAAACTATAACAAGGATAGCCGGTTGCTGTGCAAAAAGCACAGAATTATCCGACCATATCTTTAGTAAATATATAACTTTTTTTAAAAGTAGGTGTCGTTTTTTGAGCGTGGTGTGATGCAAGCATCTGAGGAATTTCTAGAACTCAGGCATATTCGACAATCACTGTAAGCAGGCAAGTTTGAAATGCTGTGAGTAACACTCCTACAATAAGAAAAGAACTTATTCTCGGTTAAATCAGGACTTTATTTACAAACCGACCTCTAATTTTGAAAAACTTTGTACACACAATGACAGAATAAAGTTATTTTTCACATCAAAGCATCCAACAACCTATTTTACAGATCAAAAATCAAAAGTTTTGCTAGCCACTCCAAAAACAAACTCAATCGTAGAACTTTCAAATTTCAAACATTCACTTGCTATGTACAGTTTTTTTTAAAAAAATTGCCTTAACCGACGCACAAATTAAAACAATCCCAAGATCTCTTTGTATGGAAAACATCAGTTTTAATCAGCTCTTACTTGTTTCTTTTTCCTCAAGAGACGGAATATCATAAGGAAAAAAAAAATAAAGTGTGAATCAATGACACAAAACAAGTTTTCATTGAACACTTCCACCTCCGTTTAGAAAGCCAAGTTAGCCACAATCAAGTTGATTTAGCTTGAGAAACTTCATTCAATTCTCTCTGGGCTAGCAAATTAACTAAAAAATTAAAACGTATTGATTAATTTGTAAATTTATGTAAAAAGTGATAGCAAACTGTTTTTTTTTGGAAAAAGTATATTGATTCACAAAAAAAAACAAAATAAATTAATTTATATCAAAACAAGAAAGAGCGCCATCGATGATAGAAATAGGATCGTAAAATTAATCAAATCAATTAGTATTTTTGTTAATAAAAAAAACACTCTAAAAGGAGATAACAAAAAAGTTTAAGAAATAACGCCAGTTTTCCTGAGTTCCAGGGACGCTGGTCGCTTTCTGAGTTCCAGGGACGCTGGTCGCTTTAAAAAGTTCTCGGCTTCATTGCCGGCTCCTTCTGCTGAAAAAAACAAGAGGAGTTCGAAAACCGCGTTTTCATCTCTATCTCTCTTTCATTGTAGTTTCTAGGCACTTCCGCTTCAAAGGAATTAACTACACTTGTAGCCCAATAATACCTTGCCTTGACAACGAGACGCACAGAACGTGCAGAGCGTCAGAACGTACAGATCATGATCTGTTTGCTGTTGCAAGATTCACCGGTATGTGGCTGTAGTTGGGGTTCAATGCACACATCCTGGCATACCTTTTGGAGTTTTTCCGCAAGCAGATTCCTAATACTGTCGTGTCTGTGCGCAAAGTGTCGGCCTTTTTTGCAAGAAATGCAAAATCGACCGAGAAAATAGCTCCGTTTTTTCAGTTCCGGAAAAGCATAGGAAAGTACTAGCTAAGTACCAGGTAGATCAAATAGCACACCTCATTTCAATTGGGAGCGACTTATAACCGGATTAAATCTCAGCTCACCCGTCAAAAGCACAAAAGATATCGCGCGTTCCATATCTGATTTTTAAAAAGTTTTAGTTATTTTAACTACGCAGAGACGTTAAAAAATTAATTCGTTGATTTGAAAAAAAAACACGTCAATTCTGAAAAAAAAATTAAGTTAGAACCCGGGTCGAGGTCCTCGATTTGTGTTTCCGCTGTTTCGTCAAATTCCGGTCTCTGTCGACTTTCTGAAAGAAAATTCGTTATGTTTTGATTTTAGCAACCAAATTTTGGTATGTTTCGATGTTCTCGACTCAATGCAAAATTTAGTCGCTTCTTTTCACCATGGTCAGATAAGCTCCAATTTTTTTAACCAAAATTCGATGTTTTTTCTTTGTCTTATTTGCTTTTTTTTACTAGTTTGAAAGCAAAAAATCTTTAGAAACAGTGGCCTTAAAGATATGTGCTACTAACAAACAAACAATTTTTTTTCCGAATTATAAAAGTTTTTGTTTTCGGTGCGACGAAAGAATCTAATTTAAAAACTGACACTTGGGTAAATTAAATTAGGTACCTTTCATTACAGTTTTTGACATGAGTTTTTTTATTTAAAAAAAAGTACAAAAAAAATTTTTTTGCGAAAAAATTCCAAATTTTTTGAAATTTTTTCTGAAAAAAAGTGCAAAATTTTTGCAAAAATTTTATTCTCAATTTTTTTTTCACCCAGAAAAAAGCTAAAGATACTTCCGATAACTAATTTCAATTAGATAAAACTAATTAGTAGTTATTTAAGTAAGTTAGGTTTAAAACTAACAATTATATTACTATTAAATCTGTATTGGCTCAAACTTAGACCACAATTCAAAAACTTCAGACCTGTTTTTTTTTCAACAATTTTTTTTGCAAATGTGTAAAGTCGTTCGAATTGCGACTGAAAGGTCTTCAATATGCTATATTTTTACAATTATTGCGATGAGTGTTTGTGGTACCTGATTTTGCGTGAAAAAAAAACACGGAGACAAATTTTTCTTGTTTTCAAGAAGAAAGACAAATTTTTCTTGTTTTCAAATAAAAATTAATTTTTTTTCTGTGTGCGATAAAAACATCAGACAAAAGAAACACCAAACTTAGCCATCATAGAAAAATAAGTCAATTGAAAATCCATTTTTGAGAAAAAAAAGACAAAAAAAAACGAAAGAACATCGCAAATAATTTTGTTTCACAGACGTTTTTGATACCACAAAGGGCGCTAACCAACCCAAAAAACTAGGTCGAAAAAACCAAGTCTCCACGGCTTAAATTAAGCACAATTAAACTGTGTAAGCCTGCAGCTCACCTTATTAGTTGGAAATAAGATCAAAACTCAAATTTTTTTATTCGGCTCTCTCGACATTGAGTTTTTCGAAAACTTCTATTGTTTGAATCACACCGAAAGGTCTTTTAAATGATATATCACTCCGATGAATAATTTTGATACCAGTTTTCGGAGAAAACAAAAAAATCTAAAATCACCGAAAACTGTTTCTCAACATTCGATAGGTCGGACCATAATTCTAAAACACAGCAGAATACAAAGTTTCCTCCAATTTTCAATGGTCGGAGCAAAAACAAGGTTAATATCAATTTCTTAACGAAATTTAGCAAAAAAAGCCATGCCAGAAAGATAAGTAGTCATTCATTTGATTGTCTATTCTGTTATTCCAAATGAGTGGTTTTTTGGTGTGTGTATTTTGAAAAAAAAAACTTTTTCGGTTAGAAAAAACTTTATATCAAATACTCATATTTCATTGATAGATCTTTCACTGTTAAAGTAGCGTCAACATGAAGTAAATCAACAAAAAGGGTACAAGCAAAGATTGCTCACAGTTTTCAGGACTGATAAATTAGATGGTTTCATATCAGTTGCGTAAAAATTTCTCTTAGCTACTGTGAAAGTCCAAAAAATCTAATGATTTCATTGTTCTTTATGCGTTGATGTAAATTCTGTTAATGATGCTAGAATAGATCAAATGCTAGACAATTATGTTAAGACAGCCAAATAA